CACGGTCACTTCCCCAGTGGGCTCAGCGTCCCCATCTGGTGGACTGAGAAACAGTCTAGATCACCACTGGTGGTGGCCGCCATGGGGCCTCCATCCAGTTCACAAGGCCACCAAGCTATTTGTGTGTGTGTGTGCGCAGGAGGGGCCCTGACTAGATGAGCAGGTGGGTGGCTTGTCTGGATGGCCTGCCACGTGGGATCTGTACGTCCCGCCCGGCCACGAGGGCAGCAGTGAGTGCTCCGCCCTCAGCAAGCCAGCAGGCGGGACTGCCAAGAGCACAGGCTTTATTAATAAACACCATTTACAGGCAGGGCCGCGGGAAGAGACCCGCTAGCCCTCGAGGAGGAAGGGGCTGTACAAGTGTCGCCAGGAGCCGTCCATCTATCACCACTCAGGTCCAGGTCCAGGCGGCCAGTCGCACCTCCAGGGAGTACCCCTATAGGCCGCCTCCCCCACCCCCCGACGCAAGGCGGACCTGTGAGGCTGGCAAGGGGCTGTGACCGGGGGCACGTCTGGTCCACACCCAGCCACCCACAGCAGCTGGACATAGGCCAGCAGCCATGGAGGCTCCCTTGGCACCAGAGATGGCTGGGGCTCTGGGTGTCCGCGGTCCACGTTCCACACCACCTCGGCCATATGGGTGTCACGTGGTCCCTGGAGGAATGTCTTATGCACAGTAAGAAAATACACACCTTTAGGGGGCAGTGCACCGTGGCCAGCGTTGCAGTGCCCGGGGCCACACGGGCACAGACGGACCAGCCACCATGCTGGAGTTGGCCGGGAGGCCTACACATTCACGGCCGTACCCCAGCGGACCTGGGGGTTGGTGCAGGCACAGGCTGCATGGAGGCAACACCACAGGCAGGTCTCCTGCTCCGCCCAAGCCCCAGGACCCCCTCCTCTGGTGCACACGCAGGAACCTGGGAACCAGACCCCTTAGCATGGCGGCCAGAAAGGAAGGGCCGGCCGACTGAACCCTCCAGTGGCCTCAGAAGTCAGAGCAGGCACCCCACACAGGCTGGGCGGACGCAGGGAGCAGCAGCTGCCCGACGGCTGAGTTCACACCTGGTGCCATCCCAGCCACCTGCCGCTGCCCTCCCGCTGGTGAACACAAGCG